TTTAAAAATGTCATTAACAGTTGAGCGATGTTGAGCACATTCTTAAACACAGCTGAACTGCCATTCTGTTCCCTTGCTCAACAGAAATGACTGTGAATGGCGGTGAAGGTCATCAGTTCACCAAACTCACCGCTGTGAACTGAGTGTAACCACAGGTGTAGGGACACTAGAGCATTTTAAGTACGAGATTCATTAGCAGATCACTCATATGTCAGCTTGTAGACCTACCAGCAGATTAACATGACTTTGAAACTCTCGAGTGTCCCTGTATCTGTGGTTACACTCAGTAAACAGTGATGAGTTTCACAGTGATTTCCGTTGAGCATGTAAACTCAATGGCAAATCAGCGCTGTTTAAGAGCTTAAATGTTAGCAAGACATGAACTTTTCAGTATTGATTGGCACTGATTTCCAGTATCGTGACAACCCTAGAAGATAGACTCCTTTCCCACCATGCATGATTTTACACCTAGTCATATTCCCCTGGAAGTCCTATTGTCCTGTTATATTGTGTTTGGGATCAGGGGTACACAATCCTGTTCCTGGTGGCCCATTATTCTCAACCCTAACACACTTCACCCAATTCATCTCTTTCAGTATTACCTGAACACAAAAACATGCTTGTTGGAGCACGGCTGGGCCCGGAATTTATAATGCTTTGCATCTCCAACAACAGGGATAATTACCTCTGACCTAGAAATACGACCACAACAATTTGGATGTCCAAAAGTACAACTTGACTTGACTAACTGAAATCTAATTAGTAAACTGATGTCTTCTTCAGCGTGCACTGCAGCAAACGTTTAAAAAAAATTCCTAACAGTTTGGATATTTAACTTATGCTCAGTTCAGACTGCATGATTTTCAAAGTAGCCGTGTCACCGATGTTTTCACACTGCATGACTATCTGGGGTAGCGTTTTGTCGGTGCTGTATTTACACTGTAGGATTGGTTGGCGAAAGGGGGTTTCACACTGCATGACTCTAAAATAGAAAGAATAGCCGACAACTTTGTCCAAACTACATCTCACGACCAAATACATGCGAAAAGTGACATGGAAACAATGCAAGGTCATGTAAAATATCTTTCGTTATTAACTACATAATGATAAAGAAGCCTCTAGGGGAGGGGTAGAAAATTTACTTATTTTGCTCATCTGGCTTTTAAAGACAATTAACAATCTCTCCTCAACTTTTTTTATTTTTCGATCCGGTTGTGGTATTGCTCAGATGATACGTCAAACAGTGCTACACTCAAACGTCAAACGTCCACTATTTTTCCTCCATTTCTTGGGTTCAAATAAACTTAAAATAAGCACTTTTAACTTCTCTCCCAACCTCCTGCTGGCCTGCAGGTAGCCATACTAGTAGATGCTGCTCTCTCATTAGCTGTAGGTGATCGCCAATGGTATTTTCAATCAGAATACATTTTAGACGGCATTATTTGAATCGTCGACAGCTCCAGATATTTAGCATGCCAAATATCTCACGGGCGTCAGCGACTCATCTGCGATTCTCTCAGATCGACCTTGATAGTTCATACTGTGTGATTGCCACTCGCGTGATTTTACACCGATTTGCCTTTGATTTCAGGCATTTCTCAGCGATTTATCTAAACCTGTTGCCGAGTCAAAATCAGGGCTAAAATCATGCAGTTTGAACTCTGCATTAAAGCCCCTTTCACAAAACCATTGCCCCTTCCTTAAAACACACCATGACCTGTTTTTAATGGGTTCTCAGCATTCTCTGACAGGATAAACTCTATTGTGTGTAGTTGCTATTAATTACTAGGTCTGACTACCTAATTTAGATGCTTCTGAAAACGTAGTAGTAGAGACGGATGGTACACAGTGTGTTATTACTACTAATAACAATTAGCACTTTGAAAGTTTAGTCACATCTAAAGCTCAGAACAACAGCAGAGATTAAAAGAGTAACAACAACAACAAAGGACAACAGAGACATATTGATAGAAAGAATAGTTCCTACCTGGGTATCTGATCTCTGAAACCTCCTCCTGAGCCAGGGGACATGTGTCGCTGTGTGTGCTGGGTCGTGGAGAGTTAACAGCTGACCTGCAGTAGTTGGGAGACCCCAGTAGAGGCGGTCGTCGGATATGTTTGTTCTTTTTCTTTGGTAGTTTTTGCTTCGCCATGGCTAGGGAGTAGTACATGCCGAAGTTGTTCACAATTACAGGAACAGGCATAGCAATGGTCAGCACACCCGCCAGGGCGCACAGCGCACCCACTAGCATTCCAGATGTTGTCTGAGGGTACATGTCGCCATAGCCGAGGGTTGTCATGGTTACCACAGCCCACCAAAAGCCAATAGGGATGTTCTTGAAGTGCGTGTCGCTACTAGCATCAGGATCATTAGGGTTTCTTCCGATACGTTCAGCATAGTAGATCATAGTGGCAAAGATTAAAACTCCGAGTGCAAGGAAAATGATCAGGAGGATGAATTCATTGGTACTGGCACGGAGTGTGTGCCCTAGTACCCGCAAGCCCACAAAGTGTCGCGTTAGCTTAAAGATACGAAGAATTCTGACGAATCGAACCACACGAAGAAAACCCAACACGTCTTTCGCAGCTTTGGAGGATAGTCCACTCAATCCCACCTCAAGGTAGAAGGGGAGGATGGCCACAAAGTCGATGATGTTAAGGGTGTTTCTCAAAAACTTTAATTTGTCTGGACAGGTAGTCACTCGTATTATAAACTCAAAAGTAAACCACACAACGCAGACTCCCTCAATGTAGGTTAACTGCACCATAGTTTCCGTCTCAGGGAAGATACGCTCCACAGTTTCATTGCCCTCCATATAGGTCTCTGTACGGTTGATGATGGGATTGAAGGCCTCATGAGTCTCCAAACAGAATGTGGTAATGGACACCAAAATGAAGAACAAAGATGCAAATGCTACCCACTGAAAGGAAAAGAGAGAGACAGAGGTTACATTCGTGTTCCACCAAAGCAAAGGCTTATACAGGAAAACATGGCAGAATGACAGAAAAACTTTTAAAACACCCAGTTGTGCCTTAAATAGGTTTTAAATAACTTCAAAGCAGACTAAAATAAACCGATCACATGAGTCCATTTCAGCAGAACTCTTCAGAAGTACACTTGGATATTGTCACATCTTAAGTTTCTCAACGTGCTTCTGAAAAATGCCACATCAGCAAGCGGGGAGCTTAACAAAATTACATTTGCTGTTAGAACTCAAGGTCACTGCGTTCACAAGGACAGAATGGAAGAAATGAGGCAACAAAAGTGCCCTCCATCACATTGATATAATTTTAGCCATGGTCTCCCTCATCAGGGACTCCTGGGTAGCCTCTGGCAAGGTTGTCACATGCAGATTTGGGGAGCTGCTCCCTTTAGTGATTTGAAAGAGGATGGGGAAGCTTTCTCCGTTTACACTGCAGCTTGCTCTACAAGAGACACCAACAGGCATGGACAGATGGAAGTGGATTTCAGTAGGGGAGCCCCACCACAGGATGACGGAATACTGTGGTGGAATTACATAAGTGCAAGTTGGCCACGTTTTCCCTGCCATGGGATCTTCAGACAACTGTGAAAGGCTCCATCCATTATGTATATTGAATACTTTCTTGAAATATTAAGATTGTAAATCAAATCACGCAATAATCAAATATTAAAGGAGTGAGAAATGTATCCAACATAGATCAAATTGAGTGCATTTTTGGAAGTCATGGTAATTGTAAAACAATACTAAGACTTTTGACAGGGACGAGTATGAGCACATATCTCCAGCTCTTTCCTCTCTGGGCTGGCTGCCTGTTTGGTCACGGATTGATTTTAAACTATTAATTTTTGTTTTTAAATCTTTAAATGATCTTGCACCAGCTTACTTATCAGACCTCCTACATGTATATAATCCTGGTAGGTAATTAAATTCTTCTGATCAGTTTATTCTTTCGGTACCTAGGTCACGGTGTAAACGAATTAGGGATCTGGCTTTTGCTGTTATTGCCCCAAAACTCTGCAACAGGCTTCCACCCCACATCAGACACACTCCGACTATATCTGTTTAAAGAATTCACACTTAGCTCATGACTTACGAAAGCTCATTGGCATGCTGTCCCAGGAGAGAGCCCTGAGCTCAAGGCATTCCTCGAGTCCAGGGCTCCCTCCCTTTGTGGGGCGAGGGGATCTCAAAACTCCCCTGCAGCTAAGGCCAAGGTGAACTTCCTAAGAGCGAGACAACTAGTAAAAGAGACTTAGGTTTAGAAGGTCTATAATGCAGAGCAATTTTTAGACTTTGGGAGAGAACTGAAACCCCCGGGGGGGAAACATGCCAGCACCACGCAGAGATACCAGAAGCTCAAATAGGGAGCTAGAGCTATTGAAATTCCTGCTGGTTGCTGGGCCGCCGAGCCACCTATTTTGGATAAAGGTGGAAGAAAGGGGGCGGGGGGGATTCTTCAAGACGAAGATAATTGTAAGTGGAAAAGGAGGAGATACATATAGGAACTAGGGATCCTTGATTGGAGGATCGTGATTAGCTAATATGAGCCAGCTGGTTTAATCATGAGCACGTACTCCTCTCGAAATTAGTCTAATAAATTAAACTTCACTTAAAAAAAAAACATCTGAAACTCCATCTTTGTTCTAAAGGATTTGGGCCTTTTTTAATGTTGAGGGGTTTGCCTTCTGTTTTAATTGTTATGTATGTGATGTAGGTTGTATTTTAATTAGTATTGATTGTGTTCAGCACTTAGGGCAACGTTGTTTTGTAAAAAATGTGCTATATAAATAAACTAACTAGCTATCCCTAAAGATTCTTGAATTATCATACATGCCTTTAGCATAAAAACAATATAAATCCCAAGCCACCACTAACAGTCATGTGTAGAACCTTGTTTAAATGACAAACCCCAAGTATTAACAAAGCCCCTAGTGCATAATGTTACTTGCCAGCACTTAATTGGTTATTTCATTGGTTATTTTCTTGTCTCATCATGTGTTTCTGTCTGTCACACAGGCCACTACCGTGCTTGCTTCATCTACTGCTGTCCCTAATTGGCTGTTTTGGTTGTCCTGGCTGAAACTAATCCTGTTACTGCTGCTTTCTGATTGGTTTCTGCTTCTCCAGTCCCAGCTAATCCTCGCATGTCCTTTAAAAAATGGCCTTCAGTCCTGCAGTTGGTCAGTCTTTGATTTTCTGTTTAGACTGTCTTTGGTTGTTAGTATTTTGGCTTGCTGTGTATTTGTGCTTTGCTAGTATTTTGAAAGCTTGAAATCCCTGTTTGTTGATATTGTTTGGCTTTATTTGATTTACACTTTGTTATTGTTGTTCAAGTTTGTTCTTACTGTACCTTACATTCCCCACTTATATTTCCTCGTGAGTCTAGAAAGGCTGGTAGGTGAGTACGGTATGTCATGTGACAAACATGTCAACACATAGATTAACCTTTGTCTAGATTCTTAATTGTTTATGTTTAAATTACTCAAATATGTAAAAAGTTAACTTAATTCCTTAATGTTGACAAATTGATTGTGTGGAACCCAGCATTTTTTACAGTGTACTCTTAAGTTAACATTTTTGTGAGCGATTCACTCAAACGATTAAAAACTGGGCTCACTCATGAACAGATTGAATCATCACTGAAACAAAAACAATTACAAACGGTTCTGAGTATGTACAAGGATATGCTTTCACAAGCATGCATCAAATAACATTTTTACGCACACATATATCATGTTTCAAACCATTGATATTCCTGATATGCCTCTGGTTCTGACGACTGGCAATACCTTCTCTGGTTCATTCTATCACATAAATTCTTTCTCCACAGGCGGTTTATAACTGGGTCAGCCAGTGCTTAGTCTAGCAGACACTATTCCCTAGATGTGCTTCGTTTCCTGTGTTTGTGGGGAGGAGAAGCATTTTGTCTGAGGAAGCCTACAAGCACACCCATAAAACGCTCCTAAATAATGGCTTTTCGCCAATCAGTAGGATCACTTTGACCTGAAGAAAAGATTTGGCAGGTGGAGAACTCCGTTCATCAGCTAAAAAACATCTTTATCCATTGATGACCCCTTAGAAATTATGCTTGATTCATCGAGAGTAGACTAAAGGATAGCACTTAATCGTAATGAATCTCAGAGGGAATTCACCTGGCTGTGTTATCATTAGCTGAACATTAGTCAACAAAGAAGTCTCCTAACAACTTCAATGTCTTCTAACAAAGTCCACTAACAACCGAACAACCATTTTTAGACTAAAAATCAAGTTTGTTTAGCGCATTATGCACTGGAAAATGTAAAGCTCTTAAATGTAATTTAAAGACTTGCTACTGTAAATCTCACATTCGTTCATTCTTTTTCTTGTCGGCTTAGTCCCTTTATTAATCCGGGATTGCCACAGCGGAATGAACCACCAACTTATCCAGCAAGTTTTTACGCAGCGGATGCCCTTCCAGCTGCACCCCATCTCTGGGAAACATTCACACACACACTCATACACTACGGACAATTTAGCCTACCCAATTTACCTGTACCGCATGTCTTTGGACTGTGGGGGAAACCGAAGCACCCAGAGGAAACCCACGTGAACGCGGGGAGAACATGCAAACTCCACACAGAAATGCCAACTGAGCCTAGGCTCGAATCACCGACACAGCGACCTTCTTACTGTGAGGCGACAGCACTACCTACTGCGCCACTGCTTCGCTTAAATCTCAAACACTTTTTAAAATTATTGTTTGCTTCAACATGATACGTGCTAATTATTAGCGTTGTATATTTTGCTGTCAGGACCGTTATAGAATGTGATGCATATCTCACAGAAATACATTCAACACTCATTGTAGATATGTACCCCTGTCTATATTTTTGGAGTGCACGTATTAAGTAGCCAGAGGTATGTCTGGCTCCATTTCGTCTTTAAACGAAAGCTACAGGGTGGTACAATGCCACCGATGGCTTCTGTTAATTGTAGAACTACCAGCTGACGTCTTACCTCCGTACGGACAGCTTTTCTGGTGTTACCCAGAAGCTCGCCACATACATAGACAGACTTGATATTCGGAACAGAGTTGACCACAACGAATAGCGTTGTGTCTGGCGAAGTACGGTTCTAGAAACCAGGTAAAACAAAAACAAATAAAATAAATACATAAATTAAGGTTGAAAGCGTAATGTCTTATCTTTTTCTAGATTGCTTTTGAAAACACTATCGGTTGGGTTTAGGGAAAGGAGTGAGTGGGTCAGTCGATCGACAGCAAGCTGGTCGGGTCGGCTGAAGTGTATATTGCGCCCTCTGGTGGATTTACGCAAGAAGAGGACACACAAGAGGAATTTGTGATCATCAAAAAGCAAACACAGCGACCTCCGGTGGATTTACAGAAACTGTGAGCAGATGTACCTGAGGTTACGTATTTCGCTGGCTCCAAAAATGTAGACCTGAATACATATCCGCAATGAGTCTGGATTGAATTCATTAAAATCCATCCAGTCAGATGACTTCTTCAAAACTCCTCAAGTTGCAACGACTTCAGAACTCCTACAGTTGCGTACCCTATTTTTCAAACATTCATTCAGTAGTTCATAGGTTGTATGAGTTGAATGACTCCATTTGATGTCTGAGACTAAGATTAAATCGTTTTTGTCTCAAAGATGGCAGTTTAAATTTCACTTTGAACTGGGAGGATTTGAACTAGAGGGTTTGTGTTGGTGCCATGACCCTGATGGGAGTGAGGTTAAGGTTGTGACTGTAACCGATCCCATTTAGTAAAGTGTATGCAGGTAAACCTCACTCCCTTAGAAAATACACTAGTAACTGACACTAGAGTCTGTAGTCTTTATCATAGCTACTAGCATCACAGCTTCCCTCATGCCTTTGCAAGCACACTTGTCAAATGCTGCATCCTAATTCTCATACTTTCCATCCTAAATAGTATTCAAAATTAGAATTAGTATGTCCCAAACCATAGTATGTTGAAAAGAGTATGCCAAAGCGGTCCCTTTAAGGCAAGTCATTTCACTCGGCAGCCATCTTTGAAATGCTACTCAGGCAGTATGCGCTGGCATTTTGTTTGAATGGGGAGACATTAAATTCTCCAAAACTACTTGCCCAGCTTACATTACATTTCATATTATGAATAACCAGTAAAATTAAACAACTGTCTATTTAGTTTTATTTTTAAATGTTAGTATCACACAAAATCTGCAGAAACTCATGTCTGGTCCAACCTCCTCCCCCAGAGAATTGTCATCCTATAGCGATCGCTGATTATCTACTGTACTAGGCGGGCTTTATTCACAATATGGCGATCGCTGATAGGCTCTTGTTCTTGAAGGTGGGGCTTTATTCGCCATATTGACAGTTACACTTTTCCCCACTTAAAAGTATAAAAGTGACATGTCTTGTGTATTCTAGAGTCTTTGTCTAAAGGTTCCCGGATGATTTACTATTTCCGGTATTCGAAAATATTCAAATTGTAGAAGCGACCATACTCTATCCGCTAAAATTACCCATAATACTTTGCATGTTGGACGTGAATTTAAATAGAACTAAAATTCGAGTAAAAAGTGTAAACAAACATGGCTGACACACCAGACTAACCGTCAAGTAGAGATGCGTCAGTAAAGTTGTTTGAATGACTAACACACTAACTGGAACATTTAAACCGCATTTTCCGTGTTGTATTTCATCTGATTATCAGATTTTATCAGATTATCCTGCTGCTGCTGCTTTTTCAATATGGTTTGGTTGGTGAATATGAAGAGAAATGTGGATGATGTGTCGAGATGATTGACAAGGGACATAACTAAGCAACAAAACTATCTGTTAATAGGACGTATTATGTCCCAAAGCTTGCATACTCTTCTGTTACACACTTTTAGGGCGTATAGTATAAGTATGTGAATTGGGACGCAGCAATTGATGCTGGTTGAAAGCCAAGGGGCTACATCAGCAGTATTTTTATCAGCATATATGATCATTTTCCATGTGCACTCTTGTTATTGGCCAAAAGTGAATGGCTGTCATTTTATACTGTAGATGCGTGCCATTGCACCTGAAACTTTTGAGTGTTGTTGGTTTGTATGCAATATGCATCAGTTGGTCAGTGAACAGACTGGAGGCAAAAAAACCTGTTAATAATTCATCATGGTAGGATTACATCACCATCGTAGCTTTCTCTGTCCCTCACAAAACCTGGTAGTGCTTTGAATTTTGTGTAATTCACGCCAAAATAACAAATGTTACCTCAAAGATTTGTAAAAGCTTTGCTGATTCACCACAGACTGAGGGCGAACGCCCATTCTCATGACCTTGCAAATCCCAGAGGGCAAAAGTTTGATCCATGAGAACGTTTTATCCTCACTCTCCCATTGATCAAGATAAACACAAGAACGGCTTGATCCTCTTGATCTCCGGAGACAAAACATGATCCGTTTCCCCCCTTTCTGCCCTCCAGTCAAACTCTGAGGACTTCAAGTGACAGTCCATTTTGTGCTTGATCCTGAACATCTGCTGTATTACTTGCTTACATTTTTATCCTGTTTCCAGTACCTGAGGAGTCAAAATATAAAGATATCTAGAGTCTTTTGAAAGTGTAGGTTGATCTACAAGTAAATTACCCAATAAACTTTGTGAAACTGGTATACGAAGCATGTCGACGCAGTGGCGCAGTAGGTAGTGCTGTCGCCTTACACCAAAAAGGTAAAAAGGTCACTGGTTCGACCCTCGGCTGGGTCAGTTGACGTTTCTGTGTGGAGTTTGCCTGTTTTCCCTGTGTTCACGTGAGTTTCCTCCGGGTGCTCCGGTGTCCCCCACACTCCAAATACATACGATAAAAGTGAATTGGGTAGGCTAAATTGTCCATATTGTTTGAGCGTAAATGAGTGTGTGTGGATGTTTCCCAGAGATGGGTTGCAGCTGGAAGGGCATCCGCTGCGTAAAAATGTACTGGATAAGTTATCGGTTCATTCTGCTGTGGCGACCCCTTAATAATAAAGGTATATTATTATATATGTGCAGATATACTGCATGTAGGTTTTAAATATGCGCATATATCCTCATATAGGTTCTCTCCTATAATGACATTCAAACTCACATAATTAGCATTAACACTGAATAAAGCACATGAGGTGTACCTGAGGTGATCGTTGTTCACCTGTGAGAAATAGAAGCCATTTAAAAAATATTAATTTCAGGTGTTGGTTAGAACAACAGCTACTTTTAATATGCAAAATACTCTTTCTATTGCGTGATGTTGCTTTTAGTTCGAAAACGGTTCAAATCAGCCTTTAAGGCCCGTGCACACCGAGACGTTTTTTGCTTGCGTTTTCTGTCGACGTTTAACGCCTCGTGAATAAATAAAAGGCGTCAATGTGATCGTGCACACCAACGCACAAAACGGCAGGCGCCAAAGCGTCATTTAAAAAAAAAAACATTCTCGTTTTTTCGGTTTGACACGCCACGTCAAAACCTTCTCCGCCAATCAGATCGGCACTTTTGTTCACGTGCACCGGGCTGCTGAAGTTACAGTAAACAGCACTTGGAGGTGCTCAAGTGCAAAACTGTCAATGCGAGCGCACATTGAAGAAGCCCAGAGGCGATATGAACGTTTAGCTGCTTATTG